GGGCAGGCCGGCAGCGGTTCCCTCCAGCCTCTGCCCTGCCCCGCCGCAGCCACTGCGCCGAGCTGAAAGCGCCCCACCTGCCCCGGGACCACGCGTCGCTGCCCTCCGACCTGCAGCTCCGCAACCTGGCGCCAAGCCCGCGGGCCGAAGGTGCGTCCCCGGCCCCAGCCTGCCCTCCCCCGGAGGAGTCCCTGCTCTACGCGGGGCCAGGGCTCCTCACCTCCTCCTCCCCCGACAGCCGCGCAGGGACAGGCGCAGGACACTGTGCTGCTGGAGCCGGACAGCAACCTGGTCCTGACCAGCCTGGGTAGGGGCCGGGGCCGCGCCGCGGGGGGAACTGTGCCCCGCAAGGGGCTGGTGCAGCCAGGGCCCTTGCCCGCAGGTGCAGGGTAAGCACTGGTGGGCAAGGGGGAGCCTGCCCTGGGCCCAGCTGGCTGGAAGGGCCCTGACCAGGGGCTTTGTTGCCTTGCAGGTCTCGTCCGGTTGCCGATGGCCGGGCACCTCTACAAGGTTTCCAGCATGAGCAGCGACGAGATCTGGCTGTGAGCCCGTGGTGCGACACCAGGGCATCCAGATTCGTCCTGTCCTGGCACGATGCTGCAGGTCACTCGGGACCGGTTCCCAGATCCGGGGAGGTGGGACGGGCGGGTGGCAACACCAGAGCCTCCTACAGCACCAGGTTTCCCCTACCCTCTGACCCGGGGTCCTGAGTCCCTGCACCTCGCATGGACGAGTCTGCTGGGCTCAGCTGCTGGGCCAGGGGATGTTCTGGGAGTGGGGCTGGCCTGTGCTCCCAGCCACAGCCACAGGCTGGGAAAGGGCCAGGGGAGCAGGAGCGAGGTGTGCATGCAGCAGCCTTGGCTGCGGGCAGGTGGGAGCCCAGCTGTCTCTGGAGAGAGCCGAGCGGTGTTGACCAGCTGCAGAGGGTGGAGGAGAAGGATCACTCTAGCTCCCCACACCGGCGGGGCAGGAGGGCACAGGTTAGGTCCCTGTCTTGGGGGGGCACATGGGCTGGGGGCAGGCTTCCAACCTGGCTCTGGACACAGGTCCACCCTGGTGCCTGGGCACCAGAGGTCAGAGTCTGACCCTTCCTGTGACTGGGACTCGGGCTCCAGGCTGGACTCGTCCTCTGGGGGGCTCTTGGCACCGTGGGTCTGTCTCGGGCAGGCATTGTGGTGGGGGCTGGGGCCGTTGCATGCTGTAACCCCAGGTGTGGTTGTTGCAGGGGTTCTGGGCAAGTCCAGCTCTGCGCCCTTGCTCTGCTCTGCTCTGCTCTGCAGGAGGCTGAAACAGCAAGAGTCACCCCTGCTGCCTCCCTGCCTGCGCCTACACTGGCTCTGGGGTGGGACAGCTGCCAGGGGCTGTCCAGGCACCTGGCAGACGGCCCCTGCGAGAAGTGCACAGCGCAGGGAGACGGCGCCTGCAAGAGGAGCTTTGCTGAGGAATGACCCACAGGAGCTTTGTACAGGGCGTTTTGGGGAGATAGATCCCTTCCGTGCTCTTGGCTCCACTGGGCAGCTCTGAGCATGCTGGGGGCACACCCCAGGGCCAGATACTGCAGCATGTGAGGGCACTGGTGGAGACACCGGCAGACCCTCGCTGCCCTGTGCAGCAGCCCCACGGGCCCGAGCTGCTGTTGCTCTGGGCCTGAGGGGCTCTGAGCCATCCAGCCTCTGCTGCGCATTTTGCTTGTGGCCTTGCCTCTTGCTGCCCCCTTGCCCTGTGATTGTGCATCTGGAAAGACCCGTTCTTTCCTGCAGGATTCTTCAGCCATTTGCCATCTTCCTCATGTCCACATCAGCCCGGGGCCTTGGCATGGCTGGCCAAGCAGCAGGACCAAGGAGACATGGCCATTGTGGCTGACCCGCCCCTGGGTAGTTCATTAAGCTATGCATCCTGTTAGCTGAGTTGCTTCACGCAGCTGCCCCCTTAGCTGAGGCATGCGCCCGTGTAACATCTGCATCTTCAGCATACCAGCCTGTGCCGGGCTGCTCGGGCTGGGGCTGGAAGTTGTTCTGACCGCAATAAACCAGACTGCAGCGTGGCACAGCTCCGTGCTGATTCTTTCTCCCTCTTGCTGTTCAATCGTCTCCTTTACAAAGTGCAGCAGGACCCTGGCCCCAGTCTGCTGGAGTGGGTGTAAATAAACCGGGAGTACCTGCTCGGGCCCGTGTCTGCTGAGACTGGAGATGGGGCACATGTCATCTGGTGCCACAGGCAGGACCCAAGCAGTGCACAGGCTCCATCCTTCCTGTGGTGTCGGGGTCACTGGCTGCTCTGGTGCACCTTGCAGGTTCTACCAACCAGACCCAGGTGAAGCAAAGGAGCAGTTCTCCCTGCAGCTGCATGTTGCAGGCAGTGCAGCAGTTGGTCCCAGGGGAGGATGGGCATGATACTGCTGTCCCCATCCTCAGCATCTGTCTGGCTTGGAGCTGGCTTGCAGGTCACAGGGGAGGGGGAGCGAATACTGGATTGTTTGCCTGGCTCCCCAGAGCCCAGCTGTGCTGCAGCCTTGGCAGCGTTGTCTCCTTGGCGGACACTGCCCCTAGGGATGTGGTCTGTGCAGAGGTCCCATCACTGCCACCCCGCCCCCTCACCAGCGCCCCAGCAAGACAGCACTGCACAGCCACGCTGCACGGCTCATCAGCACTTTATTGGGATGCCAGAGCCAAGAGCAGGCAGCATGGAAGCTACTGGAGGCCTGTGGCCCCTCTTGAGGGGGGAGGGCTGGACCACAAGGCGAATGCCCGCAGGAGGTGGGCTCTGCCCTGGCTCGGGTGCTGACAGCACCGCTAGCCCTGCCATGGCTTCATTACACAAGCTCCTTCAAGGCTGGGTCCTGCAGGAACAAGCTGAAGTGAGCTCTGCGCAGCAGCTGCCACTGACCATGAGGGCATCCAGACACCCTGAAGAACCCGGAAGCAGGTCTTGTCTGAGGCTTTATTCCCAGACGCAGGCCTGAGCCAGGAAGAAAAGGCTTTGCCCTCAGCTGAAGCTTAGTATGTCTGCCTCTGGCACTGGCTCAGGTGGGTTGGATGCAGGACTCCTGACTTGCTTTCCTTCTGCCAGAGCTTTGAAATGCTGCATGGAAAGGAGACAGCATGAGTGCAGGGACCTGCTCTGAGCAACTGAGCGCCTGGGTACACATCCTTGCAAAGCCCCTTCCCTGCCGTCATGACTGCCGTCCCTGAAAGCCATCCCACACTGTGCTGGGAACCCACAAGTCTCAGAAGCTGGTCTAAGCTGGCTGCTACCACAAATATCCAACAGGTCTAGGGCCTGGGCATGCTGCGATGTGGCAGGGGGTCAGGATAGCAGGTCCTGATTGCACCCTTTGGAAGCTTATCAAGCTCTTAAGGCAGGTGGCCCAACCACCTCCCTGTCTGCCTCTGCCCTCTTCATCCCAGTGACAGATGAAGAGATCCCTGGGGAGCAACAGCCTGGATGTCGGAGCAAGCAGGGTGGTACCTCAGTCGCTCATGCGGCCGTCACCGAGAAGAGTATGCTCCAAGCAAGGATTTTCCTTAGAGATGCGTCTGCTCAGCCTGATCGTTTGGCTGTGCCTGAAGCTGCATCCCCGCACCTGACGCCAGTTGTCAGGGAGGGGGCAGCGAGGCCCAGCAGCACCTACCTGTGAGTTCTTGAACTCCGAATATAGCGAGAAGAGGACATGCAGAGACTGGATCCGACTCTTGTAGACGGGGATGTCCAGGATTGCTAGGTCAGAACACTGTCCTCAGCACCACTGCGTGTCTATGCCTGGAGCCCTCCCCAAGTGCCAGCACTGTTGGCGTCCCCATTGCCAGCCAGTGTTTGGGCTCTGCAGGTTGCGGACTGTGTTCAGCTCTGGCCCAGGAAGGTCCTTCCCCACCTGCAAGCGCTGGCAGGCAGCCCCACTCTGCCTCTGCTGGGGCTGCACTTGGCTCCAGCCATCTCAAGCTTTTGCCGGCACAGTGCAAGTCAAGCAACAGTCATGGCATGAGTGCCAAGCAGGACTGGGCCTGACCCAGGGAGCCAAAGGGACACTGGGCACTTTCCCTGCAGAACGGCACTCCACTGGCGGCCCAAGGGCTAACTGCAGAGGCTCCGTGGCTGCTTTCCTGCATACCCTGGAACTGCAGCAGGGGAAGCCATCTCTCAGGGGGGGCCATCTTGCTCCCCCACACCAGGATCATGCTGGTCCAGAGAGGACCACATCCAACGAGGGGTCTGTGCTCAGTGCACCTCAGAAGCTGCCTCCTCCAAACAGCCAGAGCCCAGCTGATCGGAAGGAAGTGCTGCCTGCTCGACTCAGAACAGCACAGTGCTTTTTGAACAAGGCTAACCGGACCTTGTCGTGCATCCACAGGTGCATCTCGAGTAGAGCCAAAGAGGTGATCCTCCCCCTCTATGCGACACTGGTCAGGCCACAGCTGGAGTATTGTGTCCAGTTCTGTGCGCCCCAGTTCAAGAGGGATGTGGACAATATGGAGAGGGTCCAGAGGAGGGCCACCCGCATGATCCAGGGACAACAGGGCAGACTCTACAGTGAGAGACTGCGGGACCTGAACCTATTCAGCCTCCACAAGAGAAGGCTAAGGGGGGACCTGGTGACTGTCTATAGACTCACTAGGGGGGACCAGAGGGGTTTGGGGGAGACGCTGTTTCCCCTAGCGCCCGCTGGCATAACAAGGAGAAATGGGCACAAGCTGTTGGAGAGGAGGTATAGATTGAACATCCGCAAAAACTACTTCACCGTTAGGGCGGCTAGGAGCTGGAACCAACTTCCAAGGGAAGTGGTGCTGGCCCCTACCCTGGGGGTCTTTAAGAAGAGGCTGGATGCCCACCTAGCTGGACTCGTTTGAGTCCCATTTCTCTTTTTGGGGTTTTTGTTGTTCTCCCGCCCTGGCGGGGGGTCGGGCTAGAAGATCTACTAGGTCCCTTCCGACCCTTAATCTATGAATCTATGAATCTATGAACCCCCTGCTTCCCCCGCCCCAGCCAATCGTCGGCTCTGGAATGAGGGGCAGGGAGTCTGCCACCTTTAAGAGTGAGAGGAGACTGGGACTGGCAGTCCTTTACATACCACATATCATGTCAATGTACTCTGCCAGGCCACAGCTGATGTCTGCGGTGGGGAGGCTCACCTGAAAGGAGAAGGGACCCAGTTCAGTATGAACAATCTTCTCCTAAAAGCGTGTGCTGTGTTATCCCCGCACAGAACAAGCAGCATCTGGGCAGCAGCTACACAAGCTCTCCTCTGTGACCCCTCCTGGACAGATGCTTATCAAAGCCCAGTCAGCCCCGTGTGTGTCGGCATGTGAAGGTGCCAACGCATCCATTTGTGATGTGGGTCCTGCTTACCAAGCAGAAACTCACCAATGCGTTTGCCAGCTGTAGTCAATCCGATACCGTACCTTTCCCAAGAGTTCCTCAAATTCTGGAGACCATTCCTGCATCAGAGTATCGATGTCAGGCATTGGCCTGCAAGAGAAGAGAAACAAACCCCCGTGTAAACGCAAAATACAACAGCATTAGCTCTGCTGGGGACAAGGTTTCCCACTGATGCAGCTGAGATTAGTTTCCCTGTCATGCAGATACCTCTGCCCCCTCACCCGGGGGGAAGAAACCACAGGACGGACTGCTACAGCACACACGCTTCTTCCAAACTGTCTGCCTGTGGCAAAGATCTGGACTTGTGCCTTTGACCCACAGTTGTAAACTCTGGCCAGGAGGCTGAGACCAACCCCAGGCATGGCAAGAATGACCTCATCTTGTCTAAATAGTCCACTACTCCGGGGACCTATCATTGCAGCACGTCGTGCTGTGCATCCAACTGCAGGTCAGTGACATTCCTTCCTCCCTTCTCCTGGTCACACCTTTGGGAAGAGCTAACATGCATTCTGTGCCAAAGGAAGAAGCCTTTCCACTCAGTGTCAAAGTACTTAAACCATGGGGAAGACTTGTGATTAGACAGCTCACTATTACAAGTAAAGAACTGAGTACAGAGGGGTAATGTGATTTGTCGAGCATCGTGAAACATGCCAGTGGTGGGCTGGGGTGAAACCCAGGTGTCCTGACTCCCAGGCCCTCTCCTGAGTCATCTGCATGTCCCCTTTTTTTTAGCAAGATTTCCAGAACTGTCTGAATGACAAAGCAGGCAGGAACAAGATTTTGCGGAGTACCGGGCATTCAAATGGCCTCTCCTGCATGGCAGACAAGAAGGATCGTGGAGCGCAGATTGCAGTGGCAGGAGGGGGCAGAGTTCACCTGGTGTAGTGCACAGTGGCAGGTGGCTTGAAGCGATGCAGTTCACTTATGCTCTCAACCCAGTTGTCAATGGCCTTGGGATTCTTCTCAGCATTTTCCAAGCTCTTCACTTTTACCTGCTGCTGAAAAGAGAAGTGACAATCTGGAGAGACTGGCGTTGAGGCCTGTGGGCTTTGTTCTTGACTAGGCCAGGTGGTTTTGCTCCCTTAACAACTGCTCTATGCCATCCCATTTCTGCACATTAGTGCAAAAGAACAGCAGGGAAAGAACACAGTGACAAAGGCAGCAACAACCAGATGGGGGAGCAAAGTTCTGACAGAAGGAAACAAATGGATCCAAAGTCTATTGATGAGGAGGTGCCTGTGGCCAACTGCAAACATATCCAAGTGTCTGGGCTTAGGGGAAATTTTTTTCCAGATCCAAATCCTCATCAAACTAATCAGAACCCCCATGCAGGTTAGAAAGACACTATACCACACTTAGCATGGGATTAACAGCTTTCCTCCCTTGGCAACTTACTGAGACACTGTGCTGCTTTGAATTTTCTGTTAGCCAGAGAGTGAGCACCGTGGGGTCTGACTGCTTTGTAGACGGCTCATCCAGTACTAACAGCCCAAGGTTATCTGGTTTGCCATCAGGACGTGGAACCTGCAAATTCAGAAAGAAACCAGTTGTTTTTCTTCTGGATCCAAAGCGAAGGAGGTTGAAGGATTTTTAAAATGGGAAACTGTAGGTTTAAGGTTCAGGCTACAGAAGGAATGGATAAACCTGCTAATGTGTGACATACGGATGGCTTGAGCTGCCAGTGCAGCATTCCAGTTAAGCTACCCACTGCATACACACAGGAAGAGATGCAGTCTTTGCCCCTGGAACTTATGTCCTGTTTTAATGAAAGTCAATGCAGAACTGGTTGCATAGATATCCTACAACAACTTATGCACCAAGGGAAGTTGGGCAGGTCCCTACTCCTGCACTGGGCATGGCCATCTTGCTGCTGTTCCAGCAATGAGAAAAATCCAATGGTCTCCGCCTTCCTCTGCTAAGACAGTTCCTGCAGGAGATGGCACTGCTTGAAGCTGGGCAGGAGGACCTGCAGGGAAACCACTGACAATGCTGTACCTTTAAGAAGGCATCGATGTCACCAACAGCTGGAATGAAATCTGGGATGAAAGGCTGCAGCCTGTGCTCGAGCTCTATTGTTTGTGGGGTGTACCTGGGGAGAGTGCAGGGGGAGCAGACCATAGTCAAGTAATCAGCCAGGAAAGACGCTTCCTTCCCCAGAGGAAGATTCCCCTGCGTGCCCTCCACTCACCTCCTGATATACTGGAAGAGTTCTTTAATCTCGGCAGACACAGGCAGATAATCGTAATCTGCTGGGTTGTAGGCACTAAACAAAGAGAGGGATACTGCAGTGCAGTCTGCTTTGACAGGTTACGATCACGATGTCATGATACGTTATCTTGTCAAAGTGTGCAGAAGTGGAGAGCTGGCCGGGGCAGGAGGCAGAGGTGGAGGCACAAGCAGCAGGGGAAGCGAGCTCTTGTTCATGAAAGCTCGCGCCTCTGATTCAGCAAGTCTAAGGCGCGTCTCCACCCTGCGTCCCAGGGCACGCACTTGGGTGGCAGCAGGAGAGCCGGGGGCCCCATTTAGCTCCAGACAGACGGACGGGGAGGAGGTGGAGCCAGAGTCCCACCAGGGGAATTAAACCACGCTGGCTTACAATACCCTCCTGCCAGGGCAAGAAAGAAAGGAAACAAGGGCAGAGCAGATCTCCAAAGCCCTGGATGAACCGCATGGCAGAACCAGGCCGGAAGAGGTACGGGCAATGGCTGCGCTTGGGCGCCCGGGCCCGGCACCGAAACCAGCGCCTTGTTGCCTGAGGCTGGGCAGGCGCTCGCCCTGTGACCCCCAGCTCTGGGCGAGTCCTGGTACTGGGCGGCCGGGGCCCCCCTCGGCCTCGTACCCCTGCAGCGGGGCACCGTGCTCCTCCTCCTCCTCCTCCTCCTCCGAGTCCGTTTCCGACGAGTCCTCGTCCTCGTCCTCGTCCTCGTCCGCACTAAACCCTCGCGGGCCGGCCTGGTGGGATGAGGCTTTCTCCTAGAGACAGTCGGGACCCGGCCCTCGCCACAGCCCGACTCCCCCCACCCCCACCGGGCCCGGTCGGCAGCGCGGAGGTGCCGCGCGCGGGGCCGCAGCGTCTGCGGGCGGGGAAGGGCCCGGCCTCGTCCCCACCCG